AAAGACGCAGTTTGCTAGCAATTTGGATTCAATTCATATTGTAATTGCAGAGTTTATCCATTAGCTATAATTTGTGTTCCATGCTGGTTGTAAATGAAATATGTCAGTGCGGGATAAGCATAAAATTTTGAGAATCTCTTGTTTTAAGAACCTCTAATTTGTTTTAATGGATAATTATTGAGTACCGGAATGAAATAGTTCAAATGTTATGGAATGGATGCCAAGGATCTATAGCCGATCCTACTAGTTTGAGATCAAATAAAATGTCAATGCAAGGATAAGTGTAAGATTTAGAGGACCTCTAATATTTCTTAAAAGATAATTATTGAGTATTGGAATGAATGGTCCAGCTAGAATGAAATGAATATAGGCACCCAAGGGTGTGGCCGATTGGTCAATTCAGTGGGTGAGAAATCTCAGGTCCAAATCCCAGCGGAGGCAAAAAACAGTAGATGATTTCTTCCCATTTGTCCAAGCCTTGGTGGATACCTGGTACCTGTTGATGGTGGAGATGGCAGGTATCCCGTGGGATTAGTCGAGGTGCGCACAAGTTGGCTCGGACACCACGGTTATAAAAAAAGAATGGAGTGAATGTAGAGGATTTGTATAGTCGATCCTAGCTAGTTTGAGATTAAAGTGATAGTTGTTGCTCGTCGTAAATGAAGAGACCATGATGAAGGAGATATTGGGACTAGATGAGAGGGATAGTTTAGTGGTTTTTGCATTTGAGTATCTTCTTTTACGGGAGTGCATGCTGACCAGCAGGTGTGTGCACTATTAGACAGAAATGTTAAGATTGGTTCCTCAACGTGAAATATTCGAAGACTCAATTTTTCATTTTCTTCCCCTTACCTGCTACCCGAAACTTCTTATGCAAATAATGGCACTTTTATACAGTTAAGATCATTGATATCAAGTGGCATGTGTAACGCATGCATCTATAATCAATATTTTAGGTAAGTTGGGAGAAACATGGTTTTATTTTGGATGTATTAAAAACAAAGCTGGTGTTGGTGGAGCTGGAGCAGAAGCAATTTGTTTAGTCTTACAACGGTTCCATAGTACCATTGCTAATACATTGGTGGGGCAGATAAGCTGCTAAGAGTTAAAAACATATTGATATTTTCCGTCTCTACGGCTTACAAACTATTTTGTGACAATGTGAATGCCACATTCGTGCAGGAAGTTACTTGTCTTGCTTCTTTACAAAGCGTGTTTGTGAATATACAGTGGCTTACTATAAGATAGATTTTTGAGGTCAATTCTGTTGTCAGGAACCTTCTAATTAGATGGATCATTCTAATGATCCAATGTCTCTTCTGTTTTGTTATACTTAATGATGTTTAATTCTTTAATGGTTGCAGAGATTCATCAAATATCAGTTACACGTTTCAGCTACCAAGCCAGAAAGAACAGCAATCAATGTCTTCAACTCAACATCATTGGAGCAGTTCTTTGGAAGTGTTTAGATGCAACCAACAAGAGCTCTAGCAAATTTCGTTTATTTTAGTTTTTTTTCTTTTTTCTTTTCCTTTTCTTCTCCTCTTAACTCTCTTCGGCATGTGAGAAATTTCCATATGTTTGATTTCTCATTTTAATTGCTTTTCTTGGTACCTACAGCTTCATAGTTTGAGGTTAAAGGGCACTATTTGTAACACTGGTATTGTCTGAACAAATCCATCAATTTGCTGTGTATCAATATCTCATCTGTTTTCAAGCATAGACGCGAGTGCCATTATATTGTACTACTATTTTGCGCGTACTCTACAAAGTCCTGAATCAGCCTACGTTGCTCTTGAGCTTGTTATTCCGTTTGTTTAAAAGAAACAGAAAGGGTATCAGCGAAGAGCTATCTATCTAAATGATTTGGAGACCGTAGCTCCACTCTCTCAACTTTAATGTTTTTCCCTTTTAAATTTTCAATTTTAAATAATTATCCCACTAGTAGAATTTTAGTTCCGTTTGTTTCAGGAGCCAAATCTGTATGTTTGAATTGACTGAATAGAAAATGTATTTTGTCGGACAATGCAAGTTACAAAGCTGGCATAAAGAAATAATTCGACTGCTATTTCCCTGTAAAAAGAATTGATCAGGTAGAAAGCATTGAAGGCTAAATGGTACGAGTATAATATGCTACGGTATGTACAAGTACCACTAGCGCCAAAAACATTCAGGTATTTATTTTATTTTAGCCACTAAATCTTATCTTCAGTTCCACAGAATTCTGAAGTATTCACTTTGTTCACTGAATCGATGACCAGCTGCAACCTTATTCCGCTACCCTCAAAAACCAACCTAAAACATCCTCCAAATTCCCAAGACCCTCGCTCTTTTCGTACAAATAATGTAAACAATCTACGTTTCTCTCGTCACATAAAAGAACAATCACCCCCCCAAAAATACCCAAAACACAACAATTTGCCCAATTTATTATCAGTCCACACAAAGAACCCACATGCCATTTACAAAGACATTCAGAGATTTGCCCACCAAAACAAGCTCAAAGAAGCACTTACTATTCTTGACTATTTAGACCATCGTGGTATTCCCGTAAATCCCACCACATTTGCTTCCCTTATAGCTGCTTGTGTTCGTTTGAAATCCTTAAGTGCTGCTAAAATTGTGCATACCCATATAAGAATTAATGGCCTTGGAAATAATGAGTTTCTACAAACTAAGATTGTTAACATGTATACAGCTTGTGGGTGTATTGAAGATGCGAAGAAGATGTTTGATGAAATGCCTGTTAGAAGTGTGTACCCGTGGAATGCGTTGCTTAGGGGTAATGTGGTATTGGGTGGACGTAAGTATCGTGATGTTCTGGGTACATTTTCGGATATGCGGGTATCGGGAGTGGAGTTGAATGTGTATAGTTTCTCTTGTTTGATCAAGAGTTTTGCTGGTGCTAGTGCGCTTTTTCAAGGTTTGAAAACTCATGGAATTTTGATCAAGAATGGTTTTTTAGGAAGTGACATAATTAGGACTAGTTTAATTGACATGTATTTCAAGTGTGGCAAGGTTAGGCTTGCTCATCACATGTTTGAGGAGGTCGAGGAGAGGGATGTAGTTATGTGGGGTGCAATGATAGCTGGTTTTGCTCATAATAGGCTGCAAAGGGAGGCATTGGAGTATACAAGATCGATGATAAAGGAAGGGCTAGAGGTGAATTCTGTTATTCTAACAACTATTCTTCCGGTTATTGGAGAAGTATGGGCAAGAAAACTTGGCCAAGAGGTACATGCTTATGTGATCAAGACAAAGGAATACTCTAAGCAGTTGTTCATTCAATCTGCCTTAGTTGATATGTATTCCAAGTGCGGAGATATAGTATCAGGAAGAAAGGTTTTTTATGGGTCAAAAGAGAGGAATGCAATTTCTTGGACTGCTCTAATCTCGGGTTACATCTTAAACGGGAGACTCGAGCAGGCGTTGAGATCAGTTGTGTGGATGCAACAAGAAGGTTTTAAGCCTGATCTTGTAACTGTTGCCACCGTCCTCCCTGTTTGTGGGAAACTGAAAGTATTAAAGGAAGGGAAAGAGATTCATGCTTATGCAGTGAAAAATGGTTTTTTGCCTAATGCATCTGTAGCTACTTCCCTAATGATGATGTACTCAAAGTGTGGTTTGCTTCAATATTCATCTAGAGTTTTTGCGAGCATGGAGAAGAGGAATGTTATATCATGGACAGCCATGATGGATTCATATATTGACTCTGGGTGTCTGGAGGAAGCACTTGCTGTTTTTCAGTCAATGCAGTTGTCAAAGCACCGGGCAGACTCTGTTGCAATGGGAAGGATTTTAAGTGTTTGTGGAAAGTTGAGACTTTTGAAACTTGGGAGGGAAGTACATGGTCAAATTCTGAAGAAAGATATAGCATCTGTACCTTTTGTTTCTGCAGAACTTGTGAAAATGTATGGGGGTTGTGGTGCAATTGATAAATCGAGGATTTCCTTTGATGCAATAGCTGTCAAAGGATCTATGACTTGGACTGCTATTATTGAGGCTTATGGATTGAATGGCCAATATGAAGAAGCAATAAGCGTGTTTAAGCAGATGATATCGAAGGGTTTTAACCCAAACCATTTTACCTTTAAAGTTGTTTTTTCTATTTGTGAGGAAGCTGGATTTGCTGACCAGGGCTGCCAATTCTTCACCATGATGACACGAAAATATAAGATTAAGGCATCTGAAGACCATTATACTAGCATTATTAACCTTCTACATCATGTTGGTCGCATTGAGGAGGCTGAAAAGTTTGTGCTTCTTAAGCAATCCTTAGAGTGAGGTAGAGGAGAAAGATTGGCTTTATTGCATGTTGATTAGACGCGGTTATGCATACAGTAGATCCAGACCAGTGGCCTGCAGTGGATTTGCATCTAGTGGGAGATGTTAATACAGATTGAAATGGTGCTGGTCTTACCCTCCCATAGCGCCACTCTACCAATTCTTGCTTTGAAAAGCTTTGTTGTATAAAACTCTGTATATCTAAATCTACTGAGTGATGGCTTAAGGTTATACCTTTAAAGGCAGTTCAGTTAAGATCAAGGGAAGCGAGCTCAGAAAAATCAGAATAGCACCATGATCATATTCACTTAATTTTGCTGTGAAAACAGCAGGTTGTATAATATTTGAAATCCACAATGTCATTCATCTAAGTTGTGGCGACATCTCTATCATTTTATTCATGCACAATGTTTCATCTATCCTCATTTTTATAATAGTGTGCGAAATTTCAAAATGTGCAACTTTTTTGTTGTGAAAGTACTACGGTATCTCTTTTTGAAGGAGCAACACCGCAGAGATGATTTTCATAATAGTACGAAGACGACTAAAAATATCGATAATTACATTTAGATAGTAATGATATGTACCCATTTGAAATATTTTGTTTACAATAAACAGAAAAGGTGATAATAAAATAAATTAAAGTAGAAGTTAAATAGATAGTAATGATATGTACCCATTTGAAATATTTAGGTGACCAAGCATGGGTATCGGTGGAAAAAAAATACTAGGTGACTCAAACCTAAGTACCGATAAAATAATTGAGATGAACACAAGTTAGTGAGCCCACTTCGTGTCCACCCACCAACTGTAAATCCTATAACATTAGAGGAAGTCTACTCAATTTAGTGGGAAAAACGAGTGTACAGTTTAAATAGGAACTAGGGGAACCGCCGTCATACATTAGCAGCAGCTAAAAGGACACTGCTTTGTCTGCAAACTCCACAATTCTCTGCCGGAGTCCAATCGATGGAAATAATATGCCCAATCGATAAGCAGTTTTCCGACCAAATTGCCGCATTTCTCAAGCCACCTCCTCCTCACGAAGTCCAGGCATCAATTCTTGTCTCCTTTTTCGCTTTATTCTGGAGTAAATGTTTTAGTTCAAGTGTGTTTTAGTCTGTTAACTGTTTGATAAATGTTCACAGAAATATTTTGAGGAGCTATTAGCCACTAGACAATGCCGCCGCCTCAAAGTTAAACCTACTGCATACCATGGAAAGGGTAATTCCTTCTCCTTTTCTTTGATTACCGCTGGATCAGTTTTATCAACAGAAAGACTGGATAAAAAAGTTTCATTTAGTGTTGAGACACTTATTTTATCTTTTATGTGTGTTCTTATGCTAGTAGGAAATATTGAGAGCTTCTATTACTTTTCATTTTTTTTTATTTTGTACAATGTTGGCATGATATGAAATTAAATGAGGAAACATGTTCAATGAGAATTCGTATAGCCGAGCCCAACTTGTTTGTGACCGAGACATAGTTGTTGTATTGTTGTTTGTCCATGGACACAAATAGAGCAGCATGGATATAGAGGATTGATATAGGCACACAAACTAGTTTTGTGTTGAGGTGTATTTGATTGATTGATTGTCTAATGTTTGATATGCGACTAAAGTTAACCACTGGATAGGGAATTTCAAAATGTGGGTTTGCTTACTAATATTTGGTTTGTCATCTGCTAGTAACATGATGTGGTAGTTACTAGAGTTCAGTTCTTTTGTGAGTTTTATTATTAATGAGCACTATATTGAGACTAGTGGCGCCACAGGGGTTTATGCTGAGACAGACTTCAAAGAGTCGGACCTTGTTTTGAAGGATCAAATGCTTGCTGGTGCCCAACATTCTTCAAATAAGGTATTGGTGATTGAACTAGCAATACACATGTTCTTGCTTGCAGTAATCATCCAACTTTTGTATTTTTTTCACTCCCCTTTTTGACAAGCTTCACCTTGATCTTTTGCATGTGGCAGGTAGACTGTTTGGTATGTAGTTATTGCTTCTGCTTTATTGGGTCAATAGAACTTCAAATTGGGAGGAAACTTTATTTAGCACAGCTGGGTGTCTCCCGAAACAGTNTATATATGTTCAGTCAAAATTAACTGTAATATGCCAATGGCGCTGCATGGCATGACATAAAAAGTTCTTGGCACATTTTTTGTCTTGTTTAAGAGGATCTTTTCAACATCCTAATGCTGCCATCTTGTGTCAATTGAAGGTTTTTTCTCTCTTCAGTGTGTTTCCTTTTCATCGGCTCCATTGAGGAACAACTTGTTTTTTTTTTTAATTGGTAACAGTATTATAGATCTTCGGCACAAATGCTGCTCTGATAGGAACAACTTGCATGTTGCTATATGAGAATCATTGTTGCAGGGTTTTCTCAGGTGTCTGCCTCAGCCGCTAAAATTAGAATATTGAACTGTAACTGTAAATGATAAAACAGATGAACACCTCTCGGTGCTGCATTGTCTCTGGTTGTATCCATATGCTATTCAAAATGATAGATAGCTTTAGGTATTGAAAACCTCTTCTGTGAGATGAAGTTGTTTCTTCATGTTTTTGCTCCTCATAGTACCACCTAATGACTCTTGTTGTTAATTTACTTGACCGTCACTGATTGAATAGTGTGCTATCCTTTTCTTCTTCATTTTTTCGCAGCAAATCATGCGCTGAGGCTGATTGGGAGTCTTTTCATTCTTTGCTATGTACAGGGGAGGGGTCAAAGTCATTAAGCACAAAAGCGCTTCTGAAATTCATGGAACATGCTAATGGTAAGGCTCTAATGTGGCTGCTACCTGTTATGTAGTCTAGTTTATAACCTGCCTACCCGTATATCTTGTTGTTCAAGCTGTTTCCTTTTCTGATTTCTTCTGCCAGATACAAATGACATTTTCCTTCTTGCAGCAAAGGTAAGTCCTTTCCTTTTCTTGTTTCCTTTTCCTGTCAATCTGCAAAGTGTTTTAGAAGAATAGATCATTTCCGGTCTTTCTTATGTCTTGCATCTTTCCTCTTGTTAATTTTTCATGCTGCAAATCTCCTTAGGAAAATGAGGTGCATATGTGAAGGCATAGACCTCTGTGTTTGCATGTCTTACTACGTGCTGGAACCTGCTTAAGCAAGTTTTTTTGCAAACACATTCTTGTGTTATAGGTGATTTCTTTCACCATCTTGAGACACAGGAAGTTGAAAGAAAGTCGTCATGAGGGAAAAGGGAAGCAGGATATTTCGGAAAGCAGGGATTTTTCTTTACTGCTGGAGGCGTGGAAGCCAGTGTCCGTGGGATACAAGAGAAGGTACTTAAAATCTTTTTGTCACTCTTCACAAGTTGCCATAAAATGAAGCTTGACCCCTTTGATGCAAAACCTATGCGGTCTTAATGAAAGTGCGAATTATAATCCAAATATTAATATCTTATTTGTCTTACCTGAATTACATCCTGCATGATGACGGCTAGCATGACTGCAGAACTTGCAGCTATATCAATCCACTTTATGGACCACCTTTCCTAAAAGATCGACTCATAGTCTCCTGCGCAACAAAGTGTTGAAGAATACTATTCTCACCTTTGATGGTAACATTGAAGTAGGTAAATATTGCAAATTTGAAATAGCTCAAAATTTGGTCAAGTCTCTGAGGGATTAATCATATTTGGTAATGAAACCATTGGCTCTTTTAGTGGGCCTTTTCAAGAACTTCTACGGTTGCTAATATTAGTCCCTTGATAGGCTTTTTCCCTTGGTTTCCCTTCTATAAATTAGGGCAATTACAGATGTCTATACTGGCATACACTTGATGCTGATACATATATATAAAATTTACCTTTTCAACAAACCAAAATTGGCCACAACATGAATCAACGTAGAAGCCCTTCCTAAATTGTTTCATAAGGATAATAACAACAATGAGCCTATAAGCTCCAAGTCAAAATTACTTGTCTTTTAAGGCTCCTGCATTTTTGTCTATGATGAATAACTTGAATTTTTTTGGTGTAACTGTGTTATAAGGGTGACACGTTTATTTTTTATTTTTGTCTTTTGAAATGGTAAAATGTATAAGGGTGACACATTTTTTATAAATACAACAACAACAGCAACAACAACCCAGTAAAATCCCACAAGTGGGGTCTGGGGAGGGTAGAGTGTATGTAGACCTTACCCCTACCCGAAGGGGATAGAGAGGCTCTTTCCGATAGACCCTCGGCTCAAGCAGACAAACATTTTTTATGAATATTATTATAATAAGATTCAGAGTGCCACAACTTTCTAAAACTGAAAAGTTTTGTTTAACTTTTTGAAATAGAATAATCTTTCTATGAGGAATATCGGGGTTATGTGCCAGGCTGATGCATGATTATCCTACTTGTCAAGTTGCTCATGGTGTAAAGTGACTTTTTGTGTAGGTGGTGGGATTGCATTGCTTTGCCAGACGATGTTGATGGTTCTGATGAAGCATCATTTAGAATGCAAATAAAAGAGCTGGCGTTCACGGTCATCTTCCTTTGTAAATTCTGTCAGCAACCTGCTTGCGTTTTTAACTGTCACTTCGATCTGCTAGTAATGTGCTGAAGTATCTCTAATTTGTCAGCTTCAGCCTCGTAAGAGTAGTATTGCTACCTGTCATCAATCATCAGTAAAAATTGTTATACTGCCCTTCTTGGGGTGGTAAATGGACTCTTATAGTAGACCAAAAAAGGATCTGATATCTTCTATTTTGGCTGAAATAGATGTATGTGTTGCAGCTCTCCTCTTTATAAGGTCTCTTCCATCTTTGGCCTTCAGGGACCAGTTCGAGCAGGAAGAACCTTCTTCCTTAATTTTATTTAGATGTGAAGAATAGACTGGTTTTTTGTTCCGGAAGATAATGGAGCCTACTATTCCTACAGTAATTGATGTGAAAGCTGCGTGCTACAAACCTCATTCTAAATAAATGTGCAAGATACAAAGAGATCATAAGCTAAAATTGCATGGATGAATTTTCATTCTGATTATCTCATGCATCATCAGTTTTCTCCTAAGAATCAAGATTGTTCAGATGTTGCCTGGAGTAAACTGTGTATCGCCTAATCTGAGTGTCAGTTTTGACAGAGCTATTGTTCAATTGCTTTCCAAGGATGTAATAACACTATGGTCTTAATGTAGCGAGTCAATTGGAAGAAAAGGCTATGATGTATAAGTCCTGCTTAGAAGTTAAACTTTTGTGCTCTGTTACTGCGTTATATATGAACCTTAGTACCTGTATATTTTGTTTTCTAATATATCTGCATTTCATTGGTGTTGCTTCTTTGCTTTCTATACTGAAATTTGATTTATCAGTTTGTATTATCCAGTCTCTGCAGCTCCTCAAGGCAGCTATCTTTGACGAGGAATGCAAGCCATGTATCCTGATTACTTTTCAATCAGTTGACTGCTCCTCTTATCTGTAGTGTTGTTCTCGGTACTTATGTGGTTCAATATGGAATCCTTGACTCTTACCAGTACTCTCCCTTGAAATGTATGGTCATATTATTGGCATGTTTGAGCTGAATAACCTGTAAGTTCATGATCCATCAAACTACCGCCTTCATGTTATTTTCAGCATGCGTGCAATAAACCTGATGATTGTTTCACTTTTCTGCAACTCTGAAGCATACAAAATAATATTTTACCTCTTCCAAAATGAATCTCCTAATTTGAGTTGCCAAGTTTATTACTATGGCAGGAGAGTTTTTGTTTTATAACGTATTCTTTGAAATTATTAGGGCCAGAATAATTAAAAGCAGCGGTGAGAAGTATACGAGCCATGTCCAGATAATATTTTGGTTTATATAGTTTGCTCCTTCTCAAAAAGTGGACATTAATTTGGAATAGCGTAAATAGACGGATGATGAGCTTGCACATATGATTTTTGACTGCTAGATGTCCTTTGGAATGCTGCGTTTTTATACTTTTTTTTAATTCCATTTAAAGTTTGTTCTTTTATGAATTGTTGTGAACTTACTTGTAAAGCCTTTGCTTGTTAATAGTGATTTGGTGGTAGAGTCACCAGTGGAGGATTACTTTCTCTACATTGATGATCTTCCTCTCCCTGGAAAGGTTAGAACCAATTTTTTTATGTGCTTGTGAAGCTTAGTAGCATGCAGAAATTTGACAGCATTACTTTTACGATAAATTGGCAGGAAGAGGCTGAGCAAACTACAAAGCCTATCCTGGATGCTCTTGGTGATGACTATTCTATTTGTTGTCAAGGTAAACTATGATGTGTGACACAGAAAGTAGATATAGAGTTTTTTTCTTTTTTTTTCTTTTTTCTTTTATCTGGGCATAGGAACTGTCATTTTAGGTCCTTATTTGAACACAAAGCTGCCCCTGGATATCTTCCATACTTTTTTTTCTCTTTGATTAATAAAAATATCATCCATTGTTAATATCTAAAAAGGACAAAGTTGTAGTTGGGAATAAATATATGGTGCCAGGGGTGGAGTCTGGAGATAATGTACAATTACAGATAACTGTGATTACACAAGCTTAAATATCTGAGTTCTATTTAGAAAGGAGACATCATGTTTTGGAACTGTGTCTGGCTCTTGCATTTTGTGACAATCTCTTAGCTGATATGGTGCATTTTCTCTGAGCTGCATTGGTTGTTGAGTTGTGCATTGCTTTTGAATTCTGCAAGATACAAATATCGTTTGTATGCCCTAGGCAATCTTAGAAGTTCGTCCGGGAGAAGGGATAGACCTTTGCTGCCAGCATTTCAATTGATACAGAAGTTGACAAGGCATGATTAGTACAATGGCGCTTCCTTTCTCCTTCTGCAATATGATAAAGAATATGAAACCCGATTTTCTCTATTTTATTAATTTGGAAGTGTTTATACATGTTAGTTGCTTTATTTAGAATAATTATTTATTGGGAAGTATGTAACCTGCTGCAGGGAATCTTTTTTCAAAGTTATGCATGTAATTGTGTCAATTATTTTGCTCACCATGCCTACTCTTTGCTTTTCTTGTGCTGAATCATAACCACAATCAATCTTTGATTAAAGGTACTGCATTTTTCCCCTTGCAAAGCTGTATGAACCATTCGTGCAGACCTAATGCAAAAGCTTTTAAGCGAGAAGAGGTATGTTCTGATATCTGCAAATTCTGACTTTCTTTTTCTTTTCTCTCAATGGAATAACCACTTCAAATAGGAAGAAAGAACTAGACGTACAAAAGAAGACTTCATTACTGGCAAAAAATGAAACCTATGAAGCAGAGAAATTATTAGTGAATTTAATTTTCTGCAAGCAGGCATTGCGTTTGCAACTTGGTTGGGGCTTGTTGCCCCTGTTTCGGTGTTGTTTCCGACATTCTTGAAAGTAAAAAATTTATGGACAAATCATTTTCTGAACACATATCGAAGTTAATAGCAGAGGTCGGAAAGTTATTCTTGGATACAGTACTTTGAAAATACCTTTAATTTCTCTTCTATTTAGTCAAAATCTGGCTGGATCTTTGTAACCTATGCTTAAACAGGCTTCAAGTTCTTAACCATTTGCAGTTGATGTTGCTCAGTAATATATTCTGCAAATATCGGGAAACATATTTATAAGACGATTGTGAAAATGTTTTTATTAGGATCGGGATGGCCAAGCAACTATAATTGCTCTTCAACCAATTGCCAAAGGAGAAGAGGTAGCTTTAACTTGTTTTTATAGTTATAAATCTATTATGCTTTGGAAAATTCTTTGTAAACTCCACAATCCGCAGGACAAGGGAAGAGAATTCTAACTATCAAAAGGTGTTGATGTATGCAGATAACTATTTCATATATAGACGAAGACCTTCCTTTTGAAGAGAGACAGGCATTACTCGCAGACTATGGTTTTCGATGTCGATGCTCCAAGTGTCTAGAGGAAGCCTAATTAAAGATTAAAGGCAGCTTCTTTGAGAGAATTTCATATAGTAAAGGGCTATCTTTTACCCTTTCCCATTAAACAATTTTCCTTGATATAACTAGTTAAGCATAAAATTTGATTAACCTATTGTTTGTTTCCTGAGAAAATTGAAAGGTAGACTGGAGAAAATTTTGTCGAATGAGTTGATTGCAGGAAAGCATATTGGCTATAAAATTCCATGAAATTGTAGTAAATGTCCGGCTAAAGTTGTTTAGCGAAAAGACTTCAAAGATGTAAAACCCCGGATTTCGTGATTCTTTCTTATGAAATACTTTATTTTCGTACAGTTTAGAGTTGGGGCATAATATTTGACCAATTATTTAAACGGAAAATACTGTAATAAATCAGAAAAAATACGTTGAGAATCCATACTGACGAGTGACGACATACAGAACTAAGATAGACATTGATAAACAGAAATCATGATTCATGGGGTATAATGAATAAAAAGGGGAAAAAAGTATGTCCTCAACATTTTTATATAGACAGTTTTCCTTGATCGGAATAAATAATGGTCAAAAATACCTGTCTTTGTTAGTGGAAATATTGAATTGAGACTTTTTTTAACAATAGGGTCAGATTAGATACAAAGTTTCGAAAGTGGAAGTTGCTCAAGTTTTCATATGATAAGGTTTTTTTACACTAAAAATTAAAACTTATTTATTTTCGTTTCAAAAGAAAACTTGACACTCTGGTAAGGTATGAGAGCACATAATCCAATCAGAATCGGTTGCCACGTGTCGCGAAAATCCAATCGTACAAGTAAGGCACAATAAGAGCCGAACAACGGTTTATTTTATTGTAGCAACGCAACTGAAAAACCTCCATATGCATCGATTGACTCGTAATACACTCACCTATCTCAACTCGTCCGAGTCACAACGATACTACTCATTCATCGGCGATTCCCGCCTTCGCTTTTCAACCATCAAATCTCTCGCCGTTCCATTCTCCGTCACAAACCTCGGCCACAAGTNCCCATCGACGGTTAATTTCATTTTAGCTACGCAACTAAAAAACCTCCATATGCATCGATTGACTCGTTATACACTCACCTATCTCAACTCGTCCGAGTCACAACGATTCTACTCATTCATCGGCGATTCCCGCCTTCGCTTTTCAACCGTCAAATATCTCGCCGCTCCATTCTCCGTCACAAACCCCGGCCACAAATCCTTATCAATTGCCTCAAATTCCAAAACTTTCTCTGCCGTACCCGGCCGCTTTACGCCGGCGGGAATGGATTCGGATCGGCTTGCGGCGTCCGGATTCGAGGATTTTGTTCGAGTCGATGGAGAAATTGTTAATTCTACAAATTCAGAAGGTTCTGATGAGAGCGTAGTGGAAGAACGAGGGGTTGATGAGGTTTCGTCGGTGAATGAAGAAGGTGAAGGTCAAAGTCAACCATACGAAAGGAAGGTTTTGCCGGAGGAACTTTCGAGGAATGTAATGACACTCACTTGTGAATCTTCTGCCGACGGAGGCATTTGCGATGTGTATGTTGTTGGCACAGCTCACGTTTCTGCGGTAAATTTCGCGTTTTCCTTCCATATGTTTTAGAGCCCGTTTGGCTTAGCTGATTTAGAGTAGCTGATAAGCATTAGGTGCTGAAAAGCATTTTAAGTGCTGAAGCTGATTTAAAAATTAGCAGTTTCGTGTTTGGATAAAAATGCTGAAATTAATAATAAGCAACTGGGCATACGAAGAGTTTTGTTTTAAAAATAAGTATTTTAGGGATAGAATAGTAAATATTTTGATCAAACCTAAAGTGCTTATAAGTTGAAATTTGATAAGCTGGGGAGACCAACTTATGACTTTTGGCTTATTTTTGGCTTATAAGCACTTAACTTATAAGCACTTTTAATTTTACCAAACGCGTAGATAAGCCAAAAAGTGCTTATAAGCAAGTTTGACCAGCTTATAAGCTTAGCCAAACGCCCTCTTAGTAAGATAAAGTTATCTTGAAGCTTGAATATAATTTATTGTATTTATGCGAATTTCTTTTTGAGAAATGAATTCTCAGAAGTTAGTAATTTTGAACTAATATCGATCAACTTATATTCCTCGAATAGTTTTGTTCATATTATTATTAGGAGTACCATTCATGGCTCATATTGGCAATTTAGTGTATTCATCGAATTATAGAATAGAATGAGCTTATAGAGGGTTGTATAATCACATAAGTTTTCAATGCATGGTCACAGGAATCCTGCCAAGAAGTCGAAGCCGTGATCAATTTTTTGAAACCGCAGGTGCTTCTTTTGACTTTGTATTGAGTAATTGGTAGCAGCCTGCTTTAGCTGCCAATTTTCTTCTATTTTAGGCTTCCACAGTATAGTTTTTGTTGATTCTGGTTTATTGATGATAGGTTGTTTTCTTGGAGTTATGCTCGGGTCGTGTGGCTGTACTTACACCTCATAATTTAAAGGTTGGACTTTCATCTCTGACATATATCTTTATCCCTCTCCAGATACGTAAAGAGTTCATCTGAGCCAGACATGAAGTTTCTATTTTTTGAGTTTCTTTCACCATGTAGAGAAGTTTCCTCTGTTATTTATTTTTCTTCTCGGAATTTTTACTAGTTTTCAATTTGATACAGACCGTTAGTGTGCTTTTTGTACCTGTTGCCTTCTCTTTATAATTCAGTCCAATTGTTTGCTTTCTCATTGCAAGGTACCTACTTTGGTTGTCTATCTTTTTATTGTGCTTTGGTGCTTCAAGAACTACAAGTTGGTCATAATTTTTTTTTTTTTTGATAAGGTAAAATTTACAAGTTAGTCATAATTGGGAATCTGTTTCATATTTCTGAATAAAAAGAAAAAATCTGTTATAAAAGTAATCAAGGTCCAAAATACAAAAATTCCTTGAATGGGGAAAAGGAGTTTTTCTCAATGACACTACTAATACTGGGAAAGGGAGGGGATTGTGGAATTTCTTCATACAATGAAGTGAGTGGCCTATATATGATGAAGTGGAAGATAGGAAGGCGTGGAGGGGAAGAAGGGCAAAGTCATTTATGGCAAGTTTCTATTTTAAGGAGCTAATAGGTATTTAGGGTAGGAGGGGGCTTTTGAAGATAGTATGGGAGAATAAAGCACCAGGAAAAATAGCTTTCTTTAATTGGTGCACATGTGAAATGCAATATTAGTGAGATAGTGTAAGAAAGAGGAGGAGAACTATGGTGAGTCAGTGTTGTTTGTTGGAATGGGGGAGGAAACTCATGGTGCATAGGATAGGTATGTTGAAACAAAATTGATCAGTGGCAAAATAGAAACCTTTGAGTGAGCTTTCCTGCAAAACTCATTTTATTGTTTGGAATGCGGAAGGATTTATGGATGGGATCATGGGACATACTCATATAAAAGATAAATTTCCTGGTTTGGGTAAATAACGTAAAAAAGAAATATGCTGCCAAGAAGAACTAAGAGGTCCTACACCTATCAGTAAAATATACTATAATTTTATAAAGCTAAAAATGCTTTATGTAAATGCCAGTGGAGACTAAGAAGAATGTTATCATCTGGTCACTAAATTCAAGGACATCTTTTTTATTTTATTTTTAAGTTCTTATATGTTGGGACTCTTATCCTGGGATTTTTAATATGAATCCCCTTGGAATATAGTCCCATATATTAGGATAACAGAAAGCATAGGACGACTGTGGCTGGCCTACCTTTTGGCATCAAGGATATGATGAGATCAGTCACTCCATACCTCCTAATTTCACCCTGTTCCCCGAAACCACTGTACAGTATGAGATGATATTGCTGGTCTTTATCTTTCACTTCTTTGGATTAATTTCTAATACTGCCGCTCCTGATTGTGCCAGGTACCAACTATGGGGGAAATGATGGATATGTGGAAGAAAAATCAAAATCCATTTGGGATACTCTATAGCTGGTTTCTTGCTAAGGTATCTTTAACCTCTAAATGTATTGTACTGGTTTGAAAATTTTACTTTACTTCCTATATAGTGCCTTTCATCTTGTATTCCCCACCCCCACCCTCCACCCCCTCTCTCTTGTTTCCCCTTTTGGGTTGGCATAGGGATCGTTAGTTTGATTTTCTTCATGTTTTAGGTTGCTAACAAGCTTGAGGTTGTGCCTGGGGCTGAGTTCCGTGTGGCCTATGAAGAAGCAATGAAGTACGGCGGAAAGGTGATACTTGGTGACCGTCCCGTACAAGTAAGATGCTTTGCACAATTCGAACGTTTGAAGATATTAAGCTTAAATTCTGGTTCGTTCTATAATATCTTAAGTTTGTCAAGTGTATGGCGTCTCTGGTGGACAAATGACTTTGCATCAAATCTTAAAACATATCCCTAGTAATCATGATCTAAATTGGGTTGCTGTCCTTTTCATTTTAGTGAAATCATAACTAAAATAAATTACGAAATGCTCCATTCATGTCTCTTGGTCTCTTTCTGTGGATAATACAATTGAATAACAAGTAATTTAGTTTCATCTAATAATTTGCTTTTATAGTAGATCGATTAAGGGCAAAAAGTAATTTACATTAAGTGGTTTTGGCTTTTACCGGAAGAATGCTGCGTGGTTTTATGGCATTATTGCTTCATTGGGGATTTATTAATTACGGGGAATTACAGTTATGAAAGTCTTTCAAATGTTTTTTGATGTGTAGCAAATCTTTTGGATCTAACTCAAAATAACATTCTTGATTGATTTCTAGCAATGTGGTATCATTTAGTCGGTATTAACTCTCTGTTAGGATTGATAGTACTTTTTCATCAATAAATATCAAAACGTTCTTCCTTTGATTGAAAAAGAAAAAGGAAGCTATTCCTTCCATTCCATAATCATTTTCCTTTTCGATTCCCAAGAGTTTGCCAAGAAAATTAGCTGGAAACAATTGTAAGTTATTAAAAATTTCATGTATTTTGAGTACATAAATTGATCTAGTATTAGACTAAAAATTGATCAAGTTAAAAAACAATGGATGCTATTGAAATTATAGGACCGAGAAAGTATAAACCTCGGGAATAGGTGCATAATTAAAGCCCCAGTAACCTTAATAACTACCACGGTCTCTCTTAATTGGTTTCTCCAACCATTAATTTGTGCGACAAATTCTAGTTAATGTTAAGTTTGACGGAATGAGTACTATCCAACTCAATAACTAACCTTCTGATAATTTGGCTTTTCCAAAAACTGCAGGACCTGTTAATCCCCCGAAATCATTCGGATCCTTTTTTCTTATCAAAAAAGAAAAAAAAGAGAGATTGCAGACCTGTTATTGTTTCTTATTTATTGTTTCTTGACCATCCTTACTATTTGGGGAGTCTAAACATTTTCTTTAACCAAGAATTGTTAAATTACTTTTCTTGTCATATATTCTAAGCATTTTTTTGGACTATGTAATTTCTTAAGTCTATAATTTTGTTTCCAAAAAAAAAATCAAATACCAAAAAGAAAGAAAAAAGAAAAAAGATGGACTACTTCACTTGTGGAATTGGAGCTGTAAAAAGATAAAGCTTCCTGATACTCTAGTGCTCTTGCAGGACTACAATTACGTTCTGTTTTGTCGAGTTTTCCCAGTAGGAGAAAGCATATTTATAGTTCCTGTTCAATGTCTTGCTTTCTTGCAAATGTGAAACCTGGTTTTCATCTTTATTTTATTGAAGTAGTTTATCATATATTGAGTGGATTTCTCTACTTGTTAGTTCTGAACTTCAGTTTGAAGCCTAATCCTTAATCCCTATCTGATGCTATAACCATTTAATGACTCAAATTACGCAGTTCGGTTTTTTATTAACCTGTCAAATGTTACCAATTTTATGAACAGATAACATTGCGAAGAACATGGGCAAAAATGCCGCTTTGGCACAAAACAAAATTTTTGTTCTCCTTGTTCTTCCAAGCATTATTCTTACCAAATCCGGAAGATCTCAACAAGATGGTAGGTTTCCTTGCATAATATTTTATGGGGTTTCCCCTCTCTGCATATTGGATTTGTGAAGAATATCTTATGTTACTTACATGGTATTGGACTTCTGCTGTTGAGCAGCTGAAGGAAATGGATGATGTCGACATGCTGACTCTTGTAATTCAGGAAATGAGCAAGCACTTCCCCACTCTTTGGACTACCCTAGTTCATGAGCGAGATCTGTAAGCACCTCTAACTTACAAGAAAACCCACTGCTTGTAATTAAAATGCTCTTCTGCCCCTAGCTCTCTACCCCCACTCCTTCTCCTTTTTGTCTGTATGGTCAAAAAATGTTGCTACCTGCCATAGGCTTATGCTATTTTCTTGTTTTTTTAACTGGCATGGGTCTAAAATCAGGTACTTGTCATTAAGTCCTGGCCAGTGTTGCATCAGATTTAGAGAGCTTGTTGCATTTGTCATTCAAAACACAAATTTGGAAAATTTGAATCTGATTTGTTACTCCACATACTCGAAAGTGAGTTCTGTGTCTAACTATCTGGCTTTCTACATGTAGTTTGGCACTAATAGAACTTGCAATATGTGTTTAGAGGAGGCCTATTTCCGTTTAATAATGTATGGAACAATGACGATACATTTACTTATATACTTTTGGGAGAAGTAGCTTCACATATATTGGTGTTAGTCTCTTTGTAAAAGTCAAAGAGAAAAGGAAGTTTTAAATAGGAATAAGGGCTACCTTAATATAAGCTCTATTAATTTTCTGGTCAGTAGTATTTTCTCAAGCTGTTCATGATCTCAATATAGGTATAATCATCAGTTATTGCATATTATATCCTTTGTTCACTTCCAGTTTTCCTAAGTAAAAGCAAGCATTTAATTGGAGGTCACGGGTTCAATCCGTGGAAGAAATGCAGGGTAAGACTGCGTACAATAGACCCTTGTGGTCTGACCCTTCCCGGGACCTCGCGCATAGTGGGAGCTTAGTGCACCGAGTTGCCTCGGGCTTAAACAGAATTTTTGTTTTTGGGGGCTAGCTAGAGTAGAAATTAGCATGAGAAGGTATGCTAAGTTAGTCAAATGAATTAACATGCTCGTTTAATTTAAATAGAAACTCCGTCCTATGTTGTTGTTAAGTGTAAAAAATGTCTGGTCAATAATTAGCCAAGTGAAAAAAGACTAACTCCTTGTATCAAAAGTTTCATCACATAATGTTGGATTCAATGTTGTCAAAATCGCGCTTAAGCCATGGAAAAAAAACATGTTGAGCGCTTCGCCTTGCTTAGTGGCACTTCAGTGTTGTCATCAGGGCTCTAAGGCATATTTTTCTTTGCCGATGAGCGTAATCTTGAAAAGGCGACACAAAACAATTGATATAATTATTAGTCCATATATTTCTTATTCGTGCTTATAATTATTAGTCCTGGACTACACATATATTGTATTTTTTCTCCATTTGCGCCTTTCTTCATTAAAGCGCATGCTTTATTTGCGCTTTGCGCTTAAAGCCCCAACGGACCTTATTTCTGCGCTTTTCGCTTTTGATAACACTGGTTGGATTATGTGTACCAATGTTAAGGGGTGGGTTCTGGGGTGAGACGGACTATTATTAGATGAAACATTTCTTGATGTTGTTGCAACTTAAGCTAACAAGATACATTTTAAGCTTATCAGATTACTTATTTTTTATCGCTATCAATCACTAGTATTCAACTGCGGGAGTTTTTATAATTGCATTTAAGCCCACGCGCTGTACTGTTCATATGTTTCAAACAGTATTATTTGCCGAGTCAAATTCTGGGGATCTATGGTAATTTTGGTCTTCCTTGCATTTAAGTCAAAATCTTTGAAGGATGACATTGAACCTGACACTTTATTTTGTCTTTTGATGATCGGTGTAAATACTGTTTTACAAATGTTAGAGATCTGCCTTTTTCTGTTCTTCCACAGGTACATGTCATCGACATTACTAAGAGTTGCTGGTGAACACAACTCTGTTGTAGCAGTCGTAGGGAAGGGTCACCTGCCAGGAATCAAGAAGAACTGGAAACAACCCATTGAGGTGATAAAAGTTGTTGGTAGTGTAGTTAGATTGAACTTATGCTTCCTCCTGTATATTGCAAAGCATCTGGAAGCAAAAATTTGTGGCTTTCCTGGTCGCATATTTAAAGTTTACAGGCTGAATTTGAACCTTGTACTTATTTATTGACATTCTTTGTTTATAATTTGCTGCCACAGGTTAAGGAACTACTCACAATTCCTTCACAGAAACCTGCCATCTCTGTCACAAGAATCTTGTCAATGTTCGGAGTTGCAGTCGCAGGAGTGGCCATAATATCTGGCATTTATACTTCAAGCAAGAAATAAAATCAGTGGTTTCAGATCGAAGTGTCTCTAATTTCATGTATTTTATAGAGGTCATACAAGTTTGATACGCTTAGGTGCTGAGGTCATAGATTCATCTCTTATCTGTCCTGCTGCTGGAAATGGAAAATTATTGTTTTTGAAAAATTTCCTGGGGAGAGGATGGTAAGTCAAATTTGACTTTGAGAAAGATTCCTCAAATTCTTGAACAGCAACAGGAATATTGATGCTAAAATTTGCCCGCTTTTCATCTCTCTCTAACTTGACTCGATCTATCGTCTCTCTCTAATAGCATCTACTTCTCTACGCATTTCCTGCAGTGCACATTTTTAATTTGATTTAGTTGTATTTCCGTCATTTAGCCATCAGTTGTCAGGCGTCGTAGTTATTTTTGGTGAAATGAGAGAGATACTCGGCAAATCAAATCCTAAGAGATGCTCGAAAAAGGAGTTCGAGCCAAAGTGTTACTTTTTTGGACTTGAAGCACCAAAATAGGTGAAAAAAATTACTGCCTGACTTTTTTTTTTAATGTATAGCACATTTAATACATGCGCTTTAGCTTAACATNATATAGCGCATTTATACCCTCCCATTATTGTACCCCTCGCACAGATTTTTTGCTTATCTAAGGAGGTTCATTCTTTCTTCAAAAATTTAGTCTTCGGTATCCTTTTTATTTTCCTTACTCATTCTGAACTATTTGTTTACTTAACTTTTTCTGCATTTTGCCATAATATCTGAAGAGCGAAAAGTTAGGGTTGCATTATATTTGGAGCGGGGTGGGTTGGGAGCGGGTGAGGTTGTCGTGGAGAATAACTCAGTACACTATAGTTATTCTTCACCGTGTATTGTTAAGTTGCCACTCACATTAGAGTACGATAGATTGGTATCTTTGATATGTAAAAGAATGAGTGTGAGCAAACGCTCGGTTAATATTAATGTAACCGAAAGATATCCATATTTGCTTACTCCGCAAGGGGTTGCTTGTTATGTTATATTTAATATTGAAGACGATGAAACTCTAAAAGATTTTTTGAGGACTCCGGATGAACACCAGGAACTTCTTGTGATAAAAATGCTGAAAATGTACGTCAAGTCTGAAGAGTCCGCAATATTGAGGTTCCGCAAAATAGGGATAACCCTCAATCATCTGGTAGTGTTTTTGGAGCAGTTTTATCCAAATTAGGATCCATTTGAAAGAGTCTGGCCAGATCTACACTTATCTCCACGGACGAATGAGGAGCAAGGACATAATTTCTCCCCAAGTATACATAATTCACATGTTGAGTTATAAATTTTAATTTTCCTTTTCTTAGTATTATTTTTGTACGTATCATATTCAGACTAACACTCATATATTCCAAAGGAGGTATCGGCCAGATATGAATTTTACAATTTATGAACCAGGCAATAGTTGGAATATGCTCAATTTTAGTGGTTTGGATCATGCTGGTCCATCCGGGAGTCATCAGCAACTCGACTATGTGCATCATGGGTTATTAACAGATTATAAATTGTAAGTTAAGAGATAAAGTTAATATATAATGTTGGGATGACTTTGAGAAACTCATTTTTTTTAATTGTTGTGTAGTGAAAACGAGCAACATAAAGGTCTTGTCCTTACTTAGTTGGCCGAAGACGATATATTTAATCAGGATCCATAGAGTCAGGAAGATGATACTGATTATGACAATAATGATAATGAGTCTGGAGATGATATACCCTTCCCTGATGAGGGCGACAATGATGAGGAAACGCGCTTTGCTGATAAAAATGAGAATGAACATCCTGATTTGACGAGGGAGCATGATGCCACTAATGAGCATGCTCCATATATGCAGACTTCACCTCCCCTTAGACCTAGAGTGTACGAGTCCCATGTGCGCTTTCATTCAAGAGCGATTTCCTACATTGATCAGTTACCCTGTATGTCGGATGTGGATATCCTCACAAGGGTTCTTGATGACATTCGAACAACAATGTGGGATGAATCAGATCAATGGTGTTGTCCAAAAATATGAATTTTTTTTATAAAGCGCACCATAGCAGGGGGTGCGAATTTACATCATAAAATAGTGTCGTGAGATCGAGGCTCATGAGTCATCTCCAGAAGTATATAAGGTTATTTGTGGTAGATGGTTTCAAGGTTGTAGATGGATGTTGTGTGCGAGAAAGTTGAAAATAAATATGTGGATTGTAGGAAAATACACTGGCAGCCACACTTGTGATATGGACATATTCAATGAGAATCATTTTAACTTGAATGTTGACTTGAGTTCTCATTTCACACATTGAATCGTCCATATGGTACATGATTAAAGAGTGTATAACATCTGTCCACCTGGTATATGGTTGTATTATTACCAAAAGAAAGATATTTCTCGGGCGTAAACGTGCGTTTGAGATTATTTATGGTAATTGGATAAGTCATTTGCCGCTCTAACCTGGTACACAAATATTTTGCAACACTTTAACTCCGGGAATATTGTTGAATGAAAGCTTAAGCGGAGTCCCAGAATACCAGAATTCATATTCAGATATGTGTTCAGGCGTTTAAACCGGTCATTGATTGTTTTGTGCATTATCGGCTGGTAATCTCCATATATGATACTCATGTCTGTGGAAAGTTTGATATTAAGATGTTGATTGTCGTTGCAGTAGATGCTAGTGGAAGCATATTTCCCCTTGCATTTGCTATTTTTGCCAATGAAAGTCAAAAGACTTGGACATGATTTTTGAACCACTTGAAGGAGCACGTTGTCAGACAGCGTTCAAGTATTTGTCTAATATCTGATCGGCATGGTGGAGTTTTAAGTTTTGAATAGACTGGATGCATAGAAGGAACTATATGCCTACCATTGATACTGTGTTAGGCACTTGAAGGCTAACTTGCAGCGGGCTCATCCGAACAAGAGCTTACATGATTTATTGGGGATGGCTGTAATAGATCATCAAGAGTATAAATTAAGGAGGTGAATGGAATTGATTAGGAAGGAAGACCCATGAGTTTATCGTTGGTTGATGCAACATGAGCTTGATAAGTGGACTTTGCATAAGGATGGTGGCATAAGGTGGGGAATTTTGACTACAAACGTGTCAGAGTCTTTCAATGAGTTGTTGAAGTCTGCCCGTGGATTGCTTGTCACTGCCATGGTGCGGATGTCATTCAAGCATACAGCAGAGAGGTTTGTTGAAAGACCCCCAAGTTCTTCGTCCTTGTTGGAAATGAGTGTTCAATTTATGCCACAACCGATGAAAGGATTTGAGAAATATAGGAAGCGAGCACTGTGGTATACATATTTGCAATATTGCAATGAGCGAAATATTTTTGAAGTTCGCACTAGTTTGCATCAAAACTGCGGTAATAATACCCACACCATCAATGAATCCAAAAGATTATGTTCGTGTGGGAAAATGTCGATCTATCGCTTGCCATGCTCACATGCCGTGAAGTACTTTCAACATGACGATTTTGGTGCGATAAAGGTATGTTGATAAAGAATATAGTGTTGTTGCATACGTAAATACCTATAGCGGTTACTTTCCATTAGTAGGTGCCAAGCATTATTGGCCATCGAGTGCAAAAAGAACGCGGATACGGAACCAAACGGATGTTGGTGATACCATTTATGTGCGTAAATGTAGTATATGTTCCCAAACAAGACACAATCACCGCTAATGTCCTTCAGTTTGTTTGGGAAGCGGCGGTAATTCAGCTCTCGGTTGCAGTTCATCCAATGTGCCCAATTTTCAAGGATAAACTTAATGATTTGTTGCAGTAATTTTGTTGTGCCAAATGTCCATAATGGTGTTGTTTGCAATATTTATGAAATAAAATTAAGTTTTCAATAGTCTTAAATCCTATTGACAATTAGCATTGAAGATTCAATACAATAATTAAAAAAAACTTCAAGAAATAAATAACGATTTTCATTTCCCATTATCATCATTGTTTGGCACAATTTTATTGTCATTATCTTCATCTTCTTCATCAACATCCTGTACATATCTGTCCAGACCGAGAGCATCATAATCTAGGCCTTAGTTGACACACATTTCCCGTATTTCATCGCTATCATCAATAAGACCACTTGCTTGATTTATACAACAATATGGGACTCCTAAGTCTAACGTCTACGGTAGAAATTTTGGTAGTCCCTCCCACTTGAAAACTGTTGGAAATACAGGATAATCAATGTCTCTAAGTAATTTTTTATTCTCTAATAAATCTCAATACTGATCCTCCGTTCCTTGCAGGTAGTTAAGATCATCCAGTGCATGAAGAATGGCTTGTGCCTTTTCCATCTCTAAAATCTCCTTCATCAAATGCCGAATCACTTTTGGTTCATCTTTGTATATGTTTGTTTGGAGTGTTGCAGACAGTGCTTGTGGTACTACAACCCCATGCCAATGGCATAGTACTTCATAATCACACCTTTTTGGGTAAAGGGGAACCGATTGTAGTTTTTCACCCCAAATTCGGATACCTTCAAGCTTTGTAGAATGCGCTTCCTCCTCAATAATATGCCCTGCAACTTTGAGATCAGTATGTATATTGATAAGCTTATTTTCCAAGGGACATAGAATACCATACCACTTGTCATCCACCAAATTGGTATAGCAACCTACCATTTTTTTAAGGTAGGGATCGATTATGTTATGACGTGTTCCATGTAGATCTGTTGAACTACTTTCACCTTTTTGCCTCTTCTTAAACCACTTATTAAATGTTAGGGCATTTCTGAAATGGATGTTATAATGGTTTTTGAAATGGTTTTTGAAAACTGGAATATTGGTCAACTTAAAAAGAACTATATTGCACGAACTTGTACATTAAACATAGCGCATCAATAATATATGTTATGTGTATTGTCATGTCGACCTGAAAAAACTGTACGAACTTGTACCGTAAAGAATCGTTAGCATGCGAAACATAACGCATCAATATATACGTTATATGTATTATCATGTCGACCTGAAAAAGTTGAACAGACTTGTACCGTAAAGAATCGTTAGCATGCAAAACATAATGCATCAATAATATGTGTTATGTGTATTGTCATGTCGACCCGAAAAATCTGCACGAACCTGTACCATAAAGAATCGTTAACACGCGAAACATAACGCATCAATAATGTGTGTTATGTGTATTGTCATGTCGACCTAAAAAATCCGCACGAACTAGTACCGTAAATAATCGTTAGCACGCAAAACATAACGCATCAACAATATATGTTATGTAACCTAAAATCACTCATAGC